GAGAAGATGGGAACTGAGAGGTCTGCAAATACGAGCAAGGATGACAGACTACGCACTCAACGAGTCCATGACAAAATTTTTCTTCTCCAAAATCAAAGCTAACACAAGGAACAACATGATAGAGGCCCTCAAGGACCCAACAGATCCAGGGAACACCAAAACAACAGGCCCTGAGATGGTAAGGATAGCCAGGTCTTTTTATGCAGACCTATACGAGTCAAAGACACCCTCACCCCCGACCACAGCGAACTTAGCAGCCCGCCAACTCATGCTCTCGTACCTCGACAGAACCATTTCGACTAGTCAGGCGGAAGGCCTGGACAAACCCCTGACCCTGGCCGAACTACACATAGCCCTGACCCAGATGGGAAATGACAAAGCCCCAGGCATCAATGGCCTTTCTAAAGAATTTTGGAGCTGCTTCTGGTCGACCCTGGGAGGGGACCTGCTCAACTTTTTCAATGAAAGCATGCGTAAAGGAGGCCTAGGGAAGGAACTGAGCACCAGCGTGGTCTCACTGCTGTACAAGAAGAAAGACAAAGAAGACCTGAAGAACTACAGACCCATTTCTCTACTAACCACGCCCTACAAAATCCTCGCCAAGGCTCTCGCAAATAGAATCACAAAACTAACGAACAACTACTTCCACATCCACCAAGTTGGCTTCATCCCAGGCCGGTACATATTGGACAACGTGACGACTCTGAACGAGGCAGCAAAAAAGATCACGGAAAAACGAATGAAGGTTGCAATCCTGTTCTTCGATTTCGAGAAAGCCTACGACCAAGTCAACTGGGATTTTCTCCATTGAACTTCAGAAATTGGGTGAGAGTTCTCTACGCAGAAGCAACAGGCAGAGTCCAGGTCAATAGGATCCTATCGGAAACCTATCCAATTTCGCGATCAGTCAGACAAAGCGACCCATTGGCTCCGCCATATTCCTCTTCATTATGGAAGCCATAGCTTCGTTCCTCCATAAAGACCCATCCATCGATCACCTCACAGAACGAAATTTCAACCCGCTACACGACTTCGCCTTACCCACTGCACTCATGTTCACTGACGACCTCACGGCCTCATTCGCGCCATAACAGCTCCTTCCAAGCACTAGTAAGGGCAATGGAAGCTTTCAGACTGGCATCAGAAATGAGGGTCAACTGGAAGAAAACCGAAGGATGGTGGCTAGCAGACGGCACCCCTTCCCAACCATTTGACACAACCACACCCATGTCATGGACCACGGGAGAGCAAGCACTACGGTTCCTGGGCATCATGATCAACAAGGAAGGAGTTTGGCCAGGAATGGGTCAGAACCTAATCGCCAGGGCAATAACTCGTCTGGCCCTATGCAAAAACGCTCAGGCCTCACTAATCGGGCGAGCACTATTAGTTAACACGGCAATCTTCTCCACACTGTGGTATATGGCATCCATCTGGTCCCCCCCTGACGACGACCTCAACAAGCTGAAAAACAGGGTGAGATGCTATCTGTGGACAGGTGATCCCAACAGGACCACTTGTATCAACAGGGTTGCATGGAACCATATCACTAGGAAACCACAGGAAGGGGGCCTCGGGCTAATCGACCCCAAACAGGAATCCATAGCACTGCAGATGAAATGGATTATCAAGATCCTTACCAGACAGTTCCTCCCGTGGACCCTGATGGCGCTAGACAGCATCAGAAACTTAGCTCCCATCAACTCCCCCCCGAACATGAACGGTCTATTCTGGCTCATGGCAAAGGACTGGACAATCAAATCTGGCAGATTGTGCAGGAGAAACCCTGCACAGCTCATCACAAACCCCACTCAAACAGTCAGCTCATATTGGAGTCCCACCATCAAAGCCTGGCGCAGAGTGATGCCAAGCAAACACGGTGGACCTGAAAACAGAGAAGAAGTCCTGAGACAACCTCTCTTCTGCAACCCCTGGATCACCGACCCCAGTGGAACAGCATGGACTCTACGCGCAAAAGACCGAAGATGGCTATCCTGGGTAGAAAAAGGTGTGTGGCAGGTCAAACACATCTGGGTAGACGACCAAGCACGATGGGCTACTGATCAGGAACTACGCAATGTCTTAAAAGGCAGCCACTCCCTCTTTGACAACTTAACGCTGATCCAAAAAAGTATCCCAACACAATGGCTCCCCCTCCTAAGAGAGGAATTCTCGTGGAAATTCGGGGACTGGGGCATACTAGTGTCCCAAGCCCATCCTACCAGAGCATACAGATTCGTCGCTAGAACCAGCCCACCCGGCTACCTATCCAAATTATACTCCCACCCCGTCGCTAAGCACAACACAAATGAGCTGGAAATCCAGAACAAAGATCCCCAGTGCGATATTCTCGAGACCTTCCGACTGAGAAAAGTGAGGGTGTCAAAGGCCAAACCCTCGAAAATCTTCCAACCGGACCTCAGCATCTCAAAGCTAGAATTCGACCCGAAAGAATGGGTTTGGAAACAGGGTAAATCAGGGAGAATGAGAACGATAGCTGAATAAAGTGTCAAATTCGGTTATGAGCTGGGCCTACAAACCACAGACCCGGATCCCAGACTCAAAGGAAAGTGGAGGGAGATTCTGAATCTGGACCCCCTCGGTCCCCATATCCATCCCGTGGTCGAAGTTCCTGTCCATTAGACCGGCTAGGATTCGAAGCATGCAATGGCTCCTAGCGCACGCATCACTGCCAACCAATCATTGGCTCCACAAGAGGAGAAAACACACAGACCTCGACAGCACTGAGCTATGCATACTATGCACAAACAACGCCCCGGAAGACATACCCCACTGCCTCCTGTACTGCACGGAAGCAGCATGGATTTGGAACAAGGTGCGCGACCTATGGTCCATCCTCTTCTCATCATCCCCCCAGCCCACAACCCCCCTAAACATCCTGCTCCTATCTAACAACACCAACAATCTCAAAGGCGGTAAGGAAGTTTGGTTCCATCTACTCAGAAAACTGGCTCTATGGATAATCTGGAAGAGGAGATGCACCAAGACAATCGAAGGAACTAAGGTACCAAGAGAAGAAATGTGGGCTCTAGATAGGTAGATAGATAGATAGATAGATAGATAGATAGATAGATAGATAGATAGATAGATAGATAGATAGGTAGGTAGAAATCTGTCTATCTAATATATCTGCCTAGCTACCTACCTATCTATCTATCTACCTATCTATCTATCTATCTATCTATTTGTCTATCTATCTACCTACCTAACTATCTCCCTCCCTCCCTCCCTCCCTCCCTCCATCCCTACCTACCTACCTACCTACCTACCTACCTACCTATCTACTTATCTATCTATCTATCTATCTATCTATCTATCTATCTATCTATCTAATATGTCTAATCTATCTATCTATCTAATAGATAAGACATATTAGATAGATAGATTAGACATATTAGATAGATAGATAGATAGATAGGTAGGTAGGTAGGTAGGTAGGTAGGTAGGTAGGTAGGGAGGTAGGGAGGGAGGGAGGGAGGGAGGGAGG